CTTGAGGTAGCCAACCCGGTACCGGTACTAATACTGAGGGTCATTTGCCATTTACACCCAAAAAAAGAAGTATCATTGAAATCTAGACTCCAGATAAAATGTTTCACATGATCAGGGCTCCTGGCAAGCAGGGAAATAATAAACGGGGGGGTATGGAAAAAAGAGTGGGGGGGTGCGCAAAAAAACTGAAAATGAATAAGGGAGGGGGGGGGATGCTTAGTCGATACCTTAGAGTCCCCAATAGAGGCCTCCTACATACAGTGGGAACCATAGACCTATATAGAACAGGCCCCGTAATAACAGGGATCCGGTAATAACAGGGACTTTTTTAATCCCCGTTTTTTCCTACTCTTTGTCTCTATTAAAAGTTATCGGCAATAACAGGGTCCCACCGGAGCCCAACCGGTTATAGCAGGGACAAAGGCTTGTTAACAATGTGGAGAGAGAGAGAGAGAGAGAGAGAGAGAGAGAAAGAGAGAGAGAGAGAGAAAGAGAGAGGGAGAGACAGAGAGAGAGAGAGAGAGAGTAACGCAGCGATGGAGCCATGCCACTGCAAGCACACGCTGCGTGTGGGTGAAGCGAGAGAGGGCTGCGGTGTGCAGCAGACCTCGATCTAGCCTGAAACCTAGCAACACACACACATAATGTGTCGCCAACGATGTCAAGTTCAACAGAAAATGCCTTTCAACTGACAAAAAATACAAAATAATCCAGGCTGTTGACAAAAAGCAAGCTCGACGGGCAGAGATTTGTCGTCAGTTCGACTTTCCACAAGGGTCGATTCACACCATTATCAAGGATAGAGAGAAGATAGTGGAAGCATACTCCAATGAAAAGTTGCTCTGGATCGAAAGAAGATGAGACAACCCGATGCAGATGCTGTGGACCAAGCTCTTCTGATGTGGTTTAAGGAGGCTAGGAAACAGTTGGTGCCAAAACCCCTGTTCGTGGGTACTCGTGGCAAGGGCAACTACCCATGAATAACTACAGCTGGATTAGTCACAAATGCTTACTTTCCTTGCATTTCTGATTTAACAGGTATCGGATATAACAGGACATTTTCTCTACTCCCACCATCCCTGTTATATCAGGTTTCCACTGTATGTACTGCTAAAGACAAGGTAAAAAAGTTCCAACAACATTTGCGCATCATGCAAAAAACTTTTAACAACTTTTGAAATGTACCTAAATAAAGGCAAAACCTACGACTTTAAGAAATTCCAAATTAGTTCTCGTAGAAAAATAATGCATAGATTATTTGAAAAAACACAAGCCACCACAAAGCCCTCATGGAATAAAAATGTAAGTCTCATATTTATAACATCAAAAAGGCTCTCATTGAAACATCTCTTTAATTAACAACCCATTATAAAACTCACTCTAACAAACCCACATGTACAACTGAAGACCACAATTCATTTGAAGTTGGTTAATTTCTTTACTTTTATTCACAATTTTCCACCAGCAAACTCAGAAAATGAATAAATCCATGTGGTCAGCAGCCTTTTACCGGGACAGAGACAAGACAATTTCCTTGAACAAGCATACCAGTAGGCTACCCTAAAAACATGATTATGGTAGGCCGAACTATAGACTTTCAGAAATTTGCTGTATTGTCTCGTGTCCAAAGCAGTTTTCACACTGATTTCTTTACATCCAACAATTCTTTCCAATTCAAAGAGAAATAACAAACCAGCAAACAATGGAGGCATACAGGAAAAGTCTTTGAGACAAAGCCAAAACGTCCTTTATCAGCTGTAAGACCAGAAGAGTTCACGCTCAGATGCTACTGGATCGCTAACAACAACAACAACAACAACAGCTGTAAGATCAGAAGAGTTCACGCTCAGATGCTACTGGATCGCTAACAACAACAACAACAACAACAGCTGTAAGATCAATGTAGACAAAAACCCAAACCAAACAAAACCCAACAGTTGTTTTCATATAAATAATCATTTTTGCCGTAGCATAGCACCCCATGGCACACACATCACTTCCAACAAATACAATGAAATAGCCCTATGTCAAAATGAGAACAAATAGCAATGAATGCACAAACAGTAACAGGTATTTCCGTTCCAAATGAAAAGTCAGTAAATAGGTCAGGAAAGAACACTGAAACAAACAAGGACAACAGATCCACCCTGAAATGATGGAAGTAGAGATTCCTGATGTACAAAACAAGTAGATCTAGCCGTAAAACCCTATACTACTACTACTACTACACTAGATCTCGGGATTACAATAAAAACAAACACACAGAACACAAAGGGAAGGAGGAACTAAACTGACACAGACAGAGGAACTAAACTGACACACACAGAACACAAAGGGAAGGAGGAACCAAACTGACACAGACAGAGGAACTAAACTGACACACACAGAGGAACTAAACTGACACAGACAAAACACAAAGGGAAGGAAGAACCAAACGGACACAGACAGAGGAACTAAACTGACACACACAGAACACAAAGGGAAGGAGGAACCAAACTGACACAGACAGAGGAACTAAACTGACACACACAGAACACAAAGGGAAGGAGGAACCAAACTGACACAGACAGAGGAACTAAACTGACACAGACAGAGGAACTAAACTGACACACACAGAACACAAAGGGAAGGAAGAACCAAACTGACACAGACAGACAAGAAAAACAGGCTGAGGTGGCATCCAACACACTTTTGACAATGCAGTCAGGCCCAGATCACACAAACATGGACAACTCCAAATCACGGATAGCTCGTACACTTTGCAATTCTTCAACTGACATCTCTCTTTAATTGTTTGCTATACAATTAACCCAAATTATGGACGTACCAAACACATCTGTCAATCCCCCATGTGTTTCAGTCATCCGAGCCTGACTGTAATTAGATTACTCAGCACTGAAAAGAGGAAATTAATTTAAAAAATAAAAAAACAATAACAAGAGAGGATCCAGAAAAGTGACCCCCAGAATAATGCTGTCACCAAACGTAGGAAAAAATCACAACTGCGTACAAAACTCCCAAGCTTTTCTGTACACTGTCAACAGAGCAACAAAACAACAGCCATAAATTACTAGACACAATGGAAAATCTACAGCAGTCATTTTCTATGGAATGAAAACAACACAAAATTCACTTCATTCAGGAACAATCCTGAGCTTGCCCTACTTTGCTACGGTACACTGACCTACAAATGTACCAACATACACTGACCTACAAATGTACCAACATACACTGACCTACAAATGTACCAACATACACTGACCTACAAATGTACCAACATACACTGACCTACAAATGTACCAACATACACTGACCTACAAATGTACCAACATACACTGACCTACAAATGTACCAACATACACGGACCTACAAATGTACCAACATACACGGACCTACAAATGTACCAACATACACGGACCTACAATGTATCAACAAAGACTAACAGCCTGCCTGGCTGGATAATCAACATTCACAATCTTTGACAACATCTCCTGGACGAGAACAGCGCTGACAGAGGGAACGTTTTGAGGTTTTCGTTTTACCCGGGGTTTCAACACGAAGCCCTGTCCCACAGCCCGTGACATTCAACGTAGTATTACTCCAAGAACCAAGAACTCACCAACCCCTTATTATTGTTAACCCCTTTGTTGCCTTATCACGTACCTGGTACATCATGAAATTACCTAATTTTTAGCTTTTCCGTACCGTGGACATTATGGAAGTTCGCAAAATTGTCTGTTCTCGGTTGCCTATGTGACTCTACATGTTTTTGTTTTTTCTAATTAAAGTTTGATTTGTAGAGTTTTCCAGAGAATACAATAGGTGCAATAATAGATCCCAGATTACCACACTTGAAAAAGCAAGGCACAGCTAACAGATAAAGAGAAAAGTAAGATAGACATAACTTGGCCCTAACCAAACAAAAATTAATCAAATACAAAACTTAATCTTCATGAGAAAAAGAAAGTAGCACTGCATACAAAGCCACAAAGAAAAACAGCTCTCCGACACACCTTCACAAAGAGGCACAAACCCCAGGCACATTGTGGTGACTCACCCGCTGGAATGGCACAGATTTCATCCTCAATAACGGGGAGGTGTTAGGGGGGTGGGAACACATGAGTGTACTTTGCATTCCTGCCATATCACCATGGAATGTTTTTTTTATAGTATATTTAGTGCATAAATACTCAAACCAACAATTGCACCTGTGAAACTTACCATCGTTGTTAAAGAGTAGGTGGGCAGAATCTCCAGGAAAGGTTTTCCATAATAGAACAATATTGGTAAATAGAACATATATCTATGATAGAATTCATAAGTATATATACTGAGCGAAGCGGATTAGCTTTTTCATTCACATCAAGCATATCAAAAGTAGAGTTTGAAGAAAGGTACAAGAAAGAAGCACTTCTACAATCAAAACAACAATGTACAGTGGTCTCCGTCAAAGAAAGCGGCCATCGTGAGATAGAGAAATACAGGCTCTGTAATTAAGCAGGCGGACTGAGTTTTTCGACAGACTTCAAAGGGCACAATTCCATTCCTAACCGATGATTTCCTTTGTAATTCTGTTCTAAATAACGACCCAAAGGCAATACTGATACCCAATGGAAGATAAGTCTACTGTATAAAAAAGTGAAACATTATGTGTATGTGCACGTCTGTGTGGTGCTCGTTATTTAGAGTGCAAGTGGGAATCAGAGGCTGCAGAGAGAATTTTTAAAACGCAACACCATTGCTGTGCTTTGACAGCACACAGAAACTGAAATGGAACCAGTTACAATGCTGTACAGGTGAAAAAAAAAGAATGACTCACTGACTGCATTTATGGGACAATCAGATGCTTTGACTACTAGAAAGGCGCAAGTGATTTTACCTGTGCAAATCTACTCAGCTGTGCAGAGCTCAAATGCATGCCTGAAAAACTTTGAGAGTAAGTGTGCTTACTGTACAATGTCTGCTAGTCCGTGCCAACTCCTCTCTCCCCCCGCCTCCCCCCCCCCCCCCCCAATGAGCACAAAACAAAGCAGATCAGAAAAAGTTGATTGCCCTGAGCGGCACAATTCTATTTTTAGACGGGTTCTTCGACATGAAAATATAAATATGTCTCTATAAAGAAAATAATTTCCATTACGCATGATAAAACCGCGTTTGTGAGAATTGTTAGGTGGAGACCAGTGTATAATTTCTAAGATAAAACTAAATACAAATCACATTCGAGCTGTAAAAGGAAACACACCACCCACACTTTAAATCAACATCACTCTGAGTGGAATAGAAAAGAAAGGTACAAAGTTTACCTTAGCCAAAGACAAAATTTGTACAAATATAAAGAAAGGACAACATGCACCCTTGACAACAACAACAACAACACATTCGTACTGACTGACTAGACGAAGCTCCCAACAAAATGGGCTAATGCTGCTTGAGCTGAATCCTCTAGACAGCTTCCTCTGAGACAGAGTTGTGGTGGCTGCCTTAGTCTCAGAATTATGCAGACAAAATTGGTGAAGAGGGTGTCCACAGTGATGACCACAAAAATGTATTATTTAAACTACAGATGACTTTGGCTGTATTCTGCTGCCTAAGTGAACGATGACCTCAAGCACAAAGTGCTGACAATGTGATATTTTCCTGTCAAATATACAGAAGGACATGCACTTCAAGTGCATTCAGCAGATACACAACTGGAGACAGAGAATGAAGGACGGTCATATGGGTGGTCAAACAGGCAGAGAAACTGCAAGCAGCTCAGTTGACTAAGTTGCTAGTGGTAGATTCCACTCCATTTCAAGGCCTTTTGTTGCCATAGCGTTGTACAGCGGAAATAGAGCAGTCTGTCCTTTGGCTGACATTGGGGGCAACTGAGGCTACCAGCAGCACACTAGAGGACAATTGTTCTACCCTCAAGCCAGCACTTTCCTGGAGGTCTGTCCAAACTCATCCACAGTGACCTGAGTCTGCACTAGAGGACAATTGTTCTACCCTCAAGCCAGCACTTTCCTGGAGGTCTGTCCAAACTCATCCACAGTGACCTGAGTCTGCACTAGAGGACAATTGTTCTACCCTCAAGCCAGCACTTTCCTGGAGGTCTGTCCAAACTCATCCACAGTGACCTGAGTCTGCACTAGAGAAACATTCTCCTCACCGCTGTGGTTGTTCTGCAGATGCTGCTCGGCTGCTGAGTGAGAGGAGGAGAACCACCCACAAGCCGGGCACTCGTATACATAAGTGAAGTTGGTTTTCGTGTGACATTTGGCATGGCTGGTCAAATCTGAACGGTTCACTGAAAGAAAATCACAGGCAGGATTCTCACACACGTACAGACGTGACGGTCTTTGTGCCCGGCGAGCCTCTGTGTCCCTCATCACCATCAACTGACCCTCATGCTCTTTAGCATAATGTGACTTCATGCCCGCCAGGACATTGTCATACACAAACTCTGTACAGTACAGACACTGGTATTTTTTCTCAACCACTTTAGGAGGGGGTTTGGGGAATGACTTGGGTGTGGACGATTTTTTGGCAGGGGGCAAATTGTTGACATCCAACATATTCAACTCAACCCTGCAGTGCGGCAACAGACCAGAAGGCAATCTGGGAGTCTGAGATTTAGACCCTGATACAGATGACTTCCTAGTAGATGAACCTGCACTATTCCCTGTCATTCTGTCGCTTTGCTTCCTCGCGGATAACTTTGGTTCTTGCCCTGTGCTATGATTTTCTTGATGAGACAGCAGCTCCTCTAGGGAGATGAGAAGTTTACAACAGCCTTCCATTGTGCAAACATAGAATCTGGTCCTTCCTGTTTTCCGCACAGGATAGTAGCGTGTCACAATGGGGGCCATAGACTTGTGATGTCTCATCAAATGTTGTTTCACATCCCAAAGGGATGTTGGACTAGATTTTTCACAGTAGCGGCATTTGTACAAGTGACCACCCACTGTTTTCTGACTAGACGGGGGATTCTTTCCATGACATTTGTACAAGTGACCACCCACTATTTTCTGACTGGACGGGGGATTCTTTCCATGAACAGATGCATCGGAGGATTTCTTTACATTGATTTTTGACTTTGCAGAAAAATGCTTGGAACTGGAATCACTGTCTTTTTCTTCTATACCTTCCTCCTCCTCTTCTTCAAAGGATGGCTTCATCTTACTCAGGGCTTTCATAGCTGCACTACGAGCAGGCACACAAGCCATCCACATTTTGCTGGCATTCTTCGCAACATCACGTTTCATCAAAGACTGTGCTTTATCTCTTCTATCTCCAGCTGGACTCAGTATAGGAGCAGGCATTTTCTCCGTGCTCGCTGTTTGCTCACCAACACTGGGACTTCCTGCGACAGAACAAACTCGTTCCTTCGGGGCTTCCAAACAATTCTGCTGCTTACTGTCAGGTGACTCATCACAACGATGCAACACAGGCATGTCCGCTTTGTGCAACGAGCTTCGAGAGTCACTACGCATAGGTACAGAACTTCCATTGGCACCAAAAGCATCACAAGAACTGTCCCCCATCTCACTTGCCGAGGTCACCGAGAGCGGTGCACTTCTGGGGTCAGACGGCACGTCACTGTCCGAGTCTCCGGTGGAGTCGATCAGATCAGCCAGCCATTTTGTTTTGGCTTTCTCCAAGCAGGCATCTGCATCTTTGTCTGTCATTTCACTTACACTATTGACACTTTGAGCAAACTCCTCTGTCAAGTCTTCCCCTCCGCCACAAGGCGCCCTGGGAGCTTCTTTAGCATCGTGCACACTATTGCTGCTATCATTGTGACCACCAACTATTTTTTTCCTATCACGACTTTCATCCTCACTCTCTGAACCAGATGAAGACCCAGAGGAAGAAGAGGAGGAGGAGGAGGACGATGAGGAGGAGGAAGAGCTTCGAGATGAGTCCTGTTCTCCCTCAGACTCAGACTCTTCCCCTCCTCCTTCGACTCCGGCCTCCTCCCCACTTATGCTGCAGCGCATATTGTTGTCACCAGTCAATTTAAACTTGAGCTTCAGGGGATTGCTGTGCGAAGAAGTCAAGACAGTCTTTTCTTCACAGGCTGGGACATTTGTAGTTTTTTCCAAATCCCATCTCTCGTTCCCACCATCCTCCTCCTCCTCAAGTGTCTCATCTTTGCCATCACACACAGCTTTCAACACTGGCTGGTCAGTGTCAGCTCCAGCTGAAAAAGGCACCTCGGACACACCCACAGGGACAAACACATCACTTTCAGACTGACACACACTCAAACTAGTATCAACAGCTTCACAGACAACATCGCAACTACCTACAATATTCTCTCCATTTTGGAAAGCAGTCTCCTCATCACAACTACCCATCATGTTATCTCCATCAATATTGTTACAAACATTACCTTTCCCGGAGATTCCAGTATCACCACACTCATCACATTCTCCACCTTTATCATCACATTCTCCACCTTTATCATCACAATCTTCACCTTTATCATCACAATCTTCACCTTTATCATCACAATTTATAGCAGCTGTACGATCAATTTTCCACCCAGACAAAGCCTTCCTCTCCCTATCACACTTCTGTAGAATTCTACTATCATGAGAAAAGCTATCATTATCATTTTTACCCTGGACCCCTCCAGCAGGATCATCATCACAACGTGCCTCAAATCTATGATTAAGATCCCCATCCCTCATGCCTTTCTTCGACAGTCTATCTGGCCGTAAGAGGCTCTTGTCTTCGTCTTCCATCATCTGTCCCTCTTCGTCTTTCGTCATGTGTTGTACTTCTGGATATGTCACTTGTACCTCTGAATACCACTGATCCTCATCCTCATCCTGCACCATCTGCTCTTGTTCACCACACGGAGACCTGTAAGAATAATCTGGGGAGCCGGAGGCTGCCCTAGAGCTGCACGGACTCCAGGGAGCAGCAGGAAACTCACCGACAGCTCCTTCTCTATCTTCAGAAGACCCAGACAAAGAGCGCCCATTCAGCTCTTCTGGACTTTCACCTCCTCCACTGTCCTCTTCATCAGGTTCACTGTGGACTTGAACTTGCTCTCCACTAGATCTGAAACTAGAACCATCAGACTTCTTTTCTTTAACGTCGCAAATTTGAGTTCAGGGCAGCAAAATGACCAAAAGGTCAAAATTGTTGCCCTTGGGCATACAAATGCTACATCAACATATAAACAGTTGATTGCATGGGTGAAACTGGGGTTTTTTTCAAGACAAGAGATGGGAGATCAGAGTACTGCACTTTTCTTTCCATATCAGAAAATATGTCTTTTAAAAAAGCATATGAACTCATTGACAGAACATGTGAAAGGAACATGATAGTTACTTCAAACGGCCCCATACCACTAAAATCTTTCAAGTCTTTAACACAATGCATTTTTTAGAATTTAACTAGATGTACATATTGTTCATGCTCTAAACCAAAAATAAAAAAGACAGAATCCACAAACTTTGTGAAAACAAGAAACTGTAGCCTACTACACAAGACAGTGTACATACATACATACTATATTTGTAAATGAGTCAAACAAAATATGTAGACGTGAAGCTGTGTCCACCAAAGTTTGTCAAATGGAGCTGCCAAGAAAACAAAGAAAACGTTCCAACAAAAACATTTTGCATTCATATAAGATTATGAAGCTGCCCTGCCTAGCCAAACCTCAACAAGAGATCTCGAGACTGAAGCCCTCTCAAGTAAAGACGTTCCTAGATTATGGATCAAGGTTCAAAAACTCAATTCGATTACCTCTTAAAACTAGTAAAAAATTTCCACCACTCAATGGGGCATTGAACAGGCACTCACCAGCTCTATCATCATGCAACGTTTCTCTTTAACCCTTCAACATCTTCCTGTCCGGTATGTAAAATATTTTGTTAGACTGCACTCCACCTAAAACAACCTAACAATAAACGTCAAACAGTAGAACAATATAATATTGCATCTGAAAGAGAGTGTGTATTTTCTGAAAGTTTAGTTGTGGGTATAATTACAGTCCAATCCTGTTATACCGCCTTGGAGAAATAAGCTTGTTTTAGTCAGAGTTTTACGGCACTTGCAACACACTAAGGTCAAATAAGTGCCAAAGATCAGAGGTGATACAAGAGAGTAACAACACAAAAAAGGAGGGGAGGAAAGGTTAATAGATGTTTAATAGGAAAGAAGGGGCAAGCCACATGAGAGCACCCGCCAACCACCCACTTGGGACTATCCTGAAGTTTGGGGTACATCGGGGCTGGTGATACAATGAGGTTTTCATGTCCTCTGTCAAATACATGTAGCACTGACTGTCCAATATCAAGGGAACTTGTTTACCAATCACTACCTATAAAGTACTAAGTTACCTCCCTTCCATCTGTCACTTTGACTTGAGCGTGAGTCTTCACTAAATAAAAGCCCCATGGGCTTTCGCCAGCCTGTAAGTTATTGGGCTGATGTCTGGCCACGCCAGATATTTTGTGGGGGGGAGGGCGCAGGATGGTGAGGTTCCTTTAAAGTTTCTCCAGGCAACTTAAAAATCTTATTCCATTTTTTAATATTGACAGAGGCCAAAACAGAATACCATTTTCATCATCAAATTTACTCGAATTCACACGGGGAGTGAAATTTGATGCTGAATTACAATGCTATATTTTATTCTAATTGTCCTCTCAAGATCTTGTATTGTCATTGTTACTGTAATCACTTGCGGCACACTACATCACAGTATCCATTTGGCCTGAAATCTTTTTTTTTTTTTTTAAATAGTAGAAGTTTTACGGCGCTTGCAACTGCATACGGTTATATGAGCGCCAGGGGGTGGTTGTCAACAGAGAAGTCTTTACGGGGAATCAAACTTAGACTGCTCACCTCTCTAGCTTCAACAGCACAAGGTCAGCTTCGACTATCAAGGCACCCCAGAAATAGGTCACAAGAGAGTGACAAACATACAAAAGAAGTAGAGAAAAATGACAAGAGTAAGGATTAGGAAAGAAAAAGCAGCAGTTCCCTGTTGTAGATCAGGCATAGTTATGAGCGTGACATGAATCAGCCCATTTACAATTCTACTATGCTTGAACGAGAAATGTCCCCCCTTTGGGAATGGCCTAAAGACACTAGAGTCAGTGGCACTGCCCCGGGGGGTCTGAAATCTTCAAGACAAGGGTAGCAAGGTGGGATGGGTGGGGCAGGAGCAAATGGGCGAAAAGCGTTTGATCTAGACCTAGCTTGTAGACTTGTGTGGGAAAAATGGTCAAGCAACCACCGAGTGGATGTGCCGAGCGCCGTGTGTAGCCCAGTGTGTACTTCTGGAGGCATGTTCATTGGCGGTACAATGGGGTAAATTTACAGTAGTTTGATAAGGACCGTACAACTGAGGCAATGGACGGATGGCGGTGTAAAGGAGCATGCTATGTTTATAGTTTATATTGAGGACTCTTTTCGTACATTGGCAAGTGTTAGTACTTACTAAATGAGAAGATAATATTCAAGAAAGACTAAAAAAAATACTCCCAGGCTGTTATTGATTAATAGTGAAATTCAGAGAGAAGGAAACAGCTTACAAGAGAAAGGAGAAATAATTAGTTTTTAAGGAAATGTATTCAAATTACACACAGGAAAACAGGCTTGATGACAGAAATATTGCACATAATCCTTGTCTATAAGGCAAAAAACCTTTATTTACAGATATTTGGTATTAGGCACTCAGATCAGTAAGTTTGTCATGTTAATACAGGAAGGATAGTGAGGTGTACGTAAAATTGGACCTGACGACAAACAGGCTTTCTTCAACAGGCAAAGCTCGGAACAACAACAGAACAATACAAATCTAGAAAACTTCATTTCAAATTTCCATTCCTGTCAAAATGATAATATAAAAGGTTACCAAAAAATGACACTTGTGGCAGAAGAAAAATAATCTAAAACAAATTATACTCTCATTAAGAACCAATGCCAATGTGTATTTGGAACTCGTACACTAATCAAACAGGCAAAACTGCCTGTGTACAAATATCTCCTCTCAAAATCAAAAGTTTATTTTTGGAGTCCCTACCTGAGAGTGGTATCACCCAAGCACCTGACATTTGCTATGGATCTTCAGTAGGCCTAGTTCCCGAGGATTAAAAAAATAATGACTATTTTCAAACTCCTTTCTTTCCCAAACCTCTAAAATTGAAGTTGTTCCCGACAAATGTTTATTTCACTCCCCACACTTACCACACTGACCCGGGGACATGCTAAAGAACATTCTAGGCTACCTACCCACCCCTCCTGCACAACAACCCGAGCTCAAATGGACCACAAACATTGAAAGTTTAGACCTAACAAATGATACATGAGAAAATTGCTCTGTATGGGTATGCAGCGAACCTCTGGCACTGACTTCCCAAGCTTAAGTCAATAAAGTGTAAAGTACCTGATTGGCTGCTGGGTTCATGCAGGTACAGTACAGATGGGTCAAAAATTAGGGATTTTTCTTTGGTGATTTTCTTGAATTGGGTTGACAGAGTCTCATTTAAAAGCAAACTGTGCACTATACAGTTACTCACACTTGACACTCAAATAACAGTCAGATCAAGTTCAGCAATTTTTTTTTGAGAAACTGAATCGTAAATAAAGTTTAAAACCTTTTAAAATTAAAGAAAGTTGTTAGAAAAGTAAGAGAATGCATTCTGGCTTGAAGTAGTCTTGAAATACTTGAATGCCAACAGCTGTACCATACAGATGGACAGTACTTTTCTTCGTTTTAGTAAGGGAATAATGTAGACCAAAAAACACAAAAAACAAACAGTTTACTTTTCTGATTCAAAGGGGAAGAAAACCCAAACCAGCCCTGTACAACTTTTGTTCCATCGACAGCTACATTCCGTTGAAGTAAAACACAACCATGCAGTAGGTCATAGGGGGTCAAGACAAACTCAAACTGAGCCATGCCATATCTCACTATCTGTCATACTTCAACACAAAAATCACACAACAACCATTCAAAAATAAACCTGCAGCCAATTTCCATGTTAAATCCAAGACATGAAGCCATCCCATATCCTTTACTGTTCCTTTACATATATACATACAGGAGAATTTTGTATTCAAACATTTCTTTACTAGTTTAAAAAAAAAATAAGACACAAAACTTCTAAGCCCAGGTGAATTCTACTTTCAGAATGGTGAAAACTTCGCACTTCCAAAACACAATATTGGGCACACTACAAAACCATGCTAGTGAAGACAGAGGACAACTGGTCTGTTCATTGATACATACAACACAGACAACTTGGCAGCTCCAAAACACAATATTGGGCACACTACAAAACCATGCTAGTGAAGACAGAGGACAACTGGTCTGTTCATTGATACATACAACACAGACAACTTGGAAGCTCCAAAACACAATATTGGGCACACTACAAAACCATGCTAGTGAAGACAGAGGACAACTGGTCTGTTCATTGATACATACAACACAGACAACTTGGCAGCTCCAAAACACAATATTGGGCACACTACAAAACCATGCTAGTGAAGACAGAGGACAACTGGTCTGTTCATTGATACATACAACACAGACAACTTGGCAGCTCCAAAACACAATATTGGGCACACTACAAAACCATGCTAGTGAAGACAGAGGACAACTGGTCTGTTCATTGATACATACAACACAGACAACTTGGCAGCTCCAAAACACAATATTGGGCACACTACAAAACCATGCTAGTGAAGACAGAGGACAACTGGTCTGTTCATTGATACATACAACACAGACAACTTGGCAGCTCCAAAACACAGTAATGTTGGCTCATTTTGCAACAGATGGGTGTTACTGTTATTACGCAGGGAACAGAAACTGGTCATGCAACAATAACGAGAACTCGTACAAAAAAGGTCAAATAAAACAAACTATAATAGACATAATGTACTAGTCCTCTAGCTGGGTTACAACATAAAACTAGCAAGTTGTCGTGGTAATTCTACAAAGCAAGAGATTAGTGGACAACTGAGGCCATCTAGTCCAACTGAACATAATGAAGAAAGGCAGCAGAACAGAGTTTCAGCCATGCAATCAATCGGGCTAACAGGAGACAGGGACCCAGTGTCATACCTTTTCTTTTGACATCTCTGCAAAGTTGACAGTCTGCTCCAGACACTCACGGATATGAGGCTCCACCTCCACATCCGCCAGCTCAGGTCTGTTCCATGGGGTGCACTGATCCACATGCTGCAGAAACGAATCAGCAATGCTGGATTTGAAAGTGCAGTCATCTCGGGCACAGAAAAAAATCTGCTGACCTGTCTGTGACTCATCATCCACAGCAACGAGCCCTTTCCCTCTGTGTTTATAGTAGATGTGACTTTTCATGGAAGAATGACGTTTAGCAGTGTAGGAACAGTGGTAGCACCTGTACACTGTGTTCTCTTTCTTGGCTCGGGTGGGGGGGAATCGCACCTTAAGTAGATTGGCGGAATCTGAGTCTTCTTTGAGGGCTACAATGTCTTTGTCAGCAGCCACATGAGAGGCCCCATTTCTGCTGTTTACAGAATGCGAGGAGGTGGAAGCTGTGTGCTGGCGGTCTCTGAATGTAGAAACAGCAGGGGGCCTTGAGGTAGGGAACGAATGTTGATTACCCACTGAAGTTTCTGGAGGCAAGTTTTTTATCAGTGCCACATATCGATGGGGTTTCCCTGGGTGCTCCCTGTTGGAATGTTCTTTGATTTCTGCCTGACTCGTGCTCTGAAATGAGCAGTAGCCACAACTCCAGTATAGGCTGGAGGTGCTTGTGGACTTCCCTTTGTAGCCCCGTCCCCTGTACGGTACAGGAGTGCGCACTGGTCTCACCACTGATGGGTTAGAGCTATGAGCTGTGACAACATTTTGAGAGGTTTGCACCGATGGGGACGCCTGCCTATATGTGCTGCCAGTCTTGCTGCTAGAAGTGTTAAAAGAGTGTGAGGACTGATTTGATGCAGAGTTATGGTTGGATGGATACATCAGCTTCCCATTCTCTTCACCATCTACATTTTCAAGTGGGTTTTCTTCCACCTCATACACCTCCATTTCGAAAACATCATAATCCGAGTCTTTTGGCTGAGGATGACGCTTTGGGTTCTGATTTTTTCTTGACTTGCCTGGACGATTTTTTCTCCCCTCACTGTTTCCAACTTGTCCCTGAGATTCTGTGTTTGGTTTAGCTGTCTTTGGTGGCGATGGAGAATTCACATGACAACTCTCTTCCACTGCCTTTCTCTTTCGAGAGGAGAGGTTTTGAGCAGCAGTTTCCATCAAACTTGGGTCAATCTCCTCCGTGTCTTCATCTGGGTCTTTGTGAGGACGATTATTTTCCTTATCTTGAACCCTAGCTCTAACCCTTAAGTAATCTGACAAGAGAGTACAATAGTAAAACGTTTCTGATGTTCTGGAAAATTCTTCGTGCATTTTGCTCATGTGGCGGACAATATCCGACCTGCAAAAAGACTCATAGTCACAGTGCCTGCAGCTAAATCTGTGTTCAGAAACATGCTGGAGAAGAAGAGTCTTACTACTACACATAAAGGGACAAAAGTTGCACCAAAAATAGCCAAGATCTAAAGTAGCTACCACCTTGTCTTCCTTATCTGACACTAAAGACTGGGCTCCGATCCCACAGACTAATTCATGGTTCTGAACTCTAAAAATATCCTCAATCTCCGGATCACCAAGCTCCGATTCCATCAAGGCATTGGAAAACTGGACCTTGTCTCTAAGGGCAAAGCCAGCCCTTCGTGTGGGGCTCTTTGGGCGCATTAGCTTTGGGTTTTGGGTTTGAGTACTCTTTTTCCCGACACTATTACCAACGGACATGCGCGCCTGCAGACTTTGTGACACAGGAAACACACTAGCTTTCCCAGAACAGGGAAAAGTTGGATCTGTTTTTTTCGCGCAACCATCAAATGCTGCTTTCTGTTTACGTGAATTGGGTCTGAAACCCCCGGCATCGCTCAAGGCCAAGAGGGTTTCATTTTTTTTCAGGAGACTTTCTACAATGTTCTGTACAGCATCCATTTTTTTGCCCTCAATCGCTCCATGAAGCTGTGAACGAATGCTAGACCCAGCATACAGGTCATTAAGTGGAACAGGCTCAACAGATGAAGCTTCCTCCCGTGCTGATGAGCTGTCAATTGTCTGAATCGGCGACATAGTTCCAAATGTGACTGGGGGAAGCGGTGAGGAATTTCTGGAATCTGGGTTGGAGGTGTGCTCACTTGTAGCTGGTGTGCTTGTAGTCTGGTCAAATCCAGCATCCTCAGGCTCTTCTTTTACCTGAAGGTGGAAAGCATACATTTCATTCAGACAATTCAACATTTCTAGCAGGTAATAGGTAAGCAAATGCAAAGTTAGCTTGCACTTTTTCTTTACAACAAAATAAATAAAAATGGCATTACCTTTATATTTTCTTACAAATAGAAAGAAAGCATATTCAAAAACAATATGTTATTCACTGATAACAAATGAAGAATAAAAAGTAAATGAAGAGAAAGAATGATTCTCTTCATCCCCATCCAAAAAAGGAGTTCTTTTTTTTTGTCTTTTAATGAATTGCTTCTATCCATCACCAGCATACCAGTACAGTGAACCAGTGAACAACGAAATTGAAAGGGAGCCTTTACAATACTTCCATCTCCGACATTTTCTGTCTTGGAAAGGGGAATTTAGGGGGTCATGGAAAGGGGAGGGGGTTTCAGAGGCCTAGCCGCTGGAATAAGGGGTCGTTTGTCCCATCGGCAAGCAATGATCAGAACTTCTCACCTCTAAAGTTCTATCCTCTCTGATAATGGGATGTGTCAGTCTTACTTATTCATTGTCACCAGTGCTTGTATAATTTCATAGGACCCCAGTTCGACCTATTAAAAATAGAAACTTTTGAACATCTCCCTTGCTTCCACCCTTAGCCCCGCCCATCGGTGTAATAAACACAGTAACACAGCCACCCAATGCCATTCCTCTCGTTCATGTCCCTTGCTTCCACCCTTAGCCCCACCCATCGGTGTAATAAACACAGTAACACAGTCACCCAATGCCATTCCTCTCGTTCATCTCCCTTGCTTCCACCCTTAGCCCCGCCCATCGGTGTAATAAACACAGTAACACAGTGCCATTCCTCTCGTTCATGTAACAACGATTTGGGGAACTTTTTTCTTTGCTGGCCTTATGATCAGGGCAGCAAGCATTGGTCAAACTAATTTCACACCTCTGGCTACTCATTAAAGATTCGGAGCTGGAGCGCCACTTGAGCACTTTCACAGACACTGGTGAGATTTCGCACCCATACCACCCTCAAATTACACCTCCGCTCTCTTTCCTCGCCTGGTAGCGTAGCGTAAAGGTAAGAGCCGATGAAACCAAACCTGATAGTTTTGTCTCAAATCAGGGCTGAGAGAACAAAACATTTTCTGTCTTAGGCAAAAACCCTCTGAAGGGAAGAAATTTCTCTGTCCGGTTCCACTTTATTCAGGTGTCCGTCTTATCGAGGTAACTATAGAGGAATTGATCAAGGGCGGGGAGATTCTGTTATGACAGGTGTCCGTCTTATCGAGGTAACTATAGAGGAATTGATCAAGGGCGGGGAGATTCTGTTATGACAGGTGTCCGTCTTATCGAGGTAACTATAGAGGAATTGATCAAGGGCGGGGAGATTCTGTTATGACAGGTGTCCGTCTTATCGAGGTAACTATAGAGGAATTGATCAAGGGCGGGGAGATTCTGTTATGACAGGTGTCCGTCTTATCGAGGTAACTATAGAGGAATTGATCAAGGGCGGGGAGATTCTGTTATGACAGGTGTCCGTCTTATCGAGGTAACTATAGAGGAATTGATCAAGGGCGGGGAGATTCTGTTATGACAGGTGTCCGTCTTATCGAGGTAACTATAGAGGAATTGATCAAGGGCGGGGAGATTCTGTTATGACAGGTGTCCGTCTTATCGAGGTAACTATAGAGGAATTGATCAAGGGCGGGGAGATTCTGTTATGACAGGTGTCCGTCTTATCGAGGTAACTATAGAGGAATTGATCAAGGGCGGGGAGATTCTGTTATGACAGGTGTCCGTCTTATCGAGGTAACTATAGAGGAATTGATCAAGGGCGGGGAGATTCTGTTATGACAGGTGTCCGTCTTACACAGGATTAAGGCAGGTTCAACTGTACATGTCACAAGCAGTTCGCAAAATGCTTTACACAAGGAAAAGAGATGACATTCACCTGAATATCGGTACTGCTGTCCTGGGAATGTTCCGGTTCTTTCTCAACTGGAGTCAGGAAGAAAAGAAAGCAATCTATCAACTTCTTGAGAAACAATTTGATAAAAATCTAAAATAGAGAGTTATAATAATAGTCAACAAACTGTTCCCGCAGACATAAAATGTAGACATCAGGGGGAGCATCATGACGGAGATATAGAATATGCTCTTCACGTCGAACTGAAAGATGTGGACATGAAAAAAGCAGTGGAAAGAGGGGAAGAGGGAAAAAATACAGTAGTTATTACATGATCTTTCAAGGAAAATGTAGCGGTCCATCAGAATCTCTCAATCAAGATTTGTCCTGCAATGCAATCTCATATCTAACAAGAGCAAAGGGGAATTTTTCCTTTTGAGCCTGATCATCATACTTACCTCAGAGCACACATCTGACTTCACAACACAAGCACACATTATCAGCCACACGGTGGCCACAGCAGCAATCTGCCTTTCCACAACTATCCCCTCAACACAACTATCCCCTCAACACTACCCTGAGACAAGTCTGCCCTCTGTGGCAAGGATACGTTGAGGAACATCCCATTTCTTGAGGGCAAACACAAAGCTTTTTGGATTTCCACAGAATTTTGCCAAGTCTGATTTTTATGGATAATTTTGAGTGATCATATCTCAGCAGACTCTAAGATAAAATATTAATGTGTCAAAAGACGCAGAATCTATTTTTAGCTTTCAATTGGTATGCTGCATGAGTGCGTAGTGCTAGGCTTTAACATGATGACTGGGTGAATACATTTTCAAGTTTCTTTTGGCTTTCAACACCACTGTATAATAACATGAGCAACAATGTGCAACCTTTAACATCGATCTCTACAGTTTATTAACGACTCTCCTCTGTAATACAATAAGCACAGAAAACATTGCAACAGCACAACTACATAATCAAAGGTCAATTTGATCATTCTACTTATATTATAATCTATTCTTAAAAATGATTGACCTCACCAGCAAGCATTGTCTGCTGATCTCCTGTCTGCTCAGAGTCCATGTCCAACAGAGATCATCTATGAGAGTCTGCAAAACAAAGATGTATCCACAATCAATTAGAAATTGTGGGTGGGAGGTGAATGGGACATTGTCATGACCATTTCTTTAAAATCAAGCAAAAGATTAGATCAGAATAGTGAACGAGTGTAGACAAGAGCTACAGTATTAGATATGCAGGTTAGGAGTTACAATTGCACAAATTATGTCCACGCAAAACTTTTTTGAAGTGCATAAAATTATATAATGCGTTGGCCCTTCCAGGCCATTTTAAATTTGAACACAAGAAAAAGTTAGACAACACAAATTTATTTTATTTGATCCATCGTCAATTAATAAAACCTCTAGAACCTCTTTCTCCTCATTTTTCCCTACAGTGAAACTCAGATTCAACGAAGTCATCAGGCCTGACCTTCAATTTAGTTGAATCCAAGTCTCATTTTTTGCGAGAGAAGAATGAGCGAAGCCGTGTCATCAAAGGCTGTTCACCCAGCAAGCAACTTCGTTGAATCCGAGCTGGCTCATACATTATGTCATAGTTGGCTCCGAGTTATTTTTAATGATTTTTATGAATTAAAAAAACGGGGAATCCAACTCCTTTCGTTGAATCCATTTGATGATTTGAAATTTAATTCTTTCCGAACGTATCGTCGATAAATTGATTCGTTGATATATATCAGCAAGACTCCACAGCTGTTTTATACGTAGGCTATTGCCGAATAACTGCAATGATGGTGTGCCTCAGTTTAGCTTCGTTTTAACATGGTTCCTCATTTATTATTGGGACTTATTATTGCTACTAGATCTTAGAAAACTTGGATAGGAAACTTGGAAAGGAATATTTAGGAAACGAAACGAAAAAATTCAGTTTCTCTTTATCAAAGCGTCAGTTTGGCGACAAATCTGATGAATACAAGAAGTCATTCTTGCATCAAAGGAGTGATGTACCAGACACAGTAGCAGTTAAATGAGGACTTCTGAAGAACTTCTTTTTTGTCCTTTTCCTTTAAGAATACTAATCTAGGTTATAGTCTAATTCTTGTTTTCTTCTTTCCCCATCTTGTGTCCACAGCACCTTTCTTTTTATCCATTATCAAAACACATACACACGGTATATAAGGAAATCTCCTGTTAGGGGGCGCACAGCTCCCAAAAATAACACGCCTCATTGACCTTGGCCTTCATTTCCGGTCAGTACAGGAACTTCTTGCAAAGAAAAGAAGACAAGGCCAGGAGAGAGAAAGATGAAAAGTGTCAGAAAAGAACTCGATCTAGATCTAGAGCTGTAAACATGGTACTTTTGCGCACTCAACCAAACGATATGTTGCACCAAAACAGACACCTTGCGCATCAACCAGATATACACGTTACCAAACAAACACCATCACAACAGCTGGGTTTTATAATGCGCTACACCGTATAGAGGAAGTCTTTCTAACTTCTGGTGAAAAAATCATGAAGATCGACCTGTAACTTCCAGAGATATTCACAAAAGATCGTTTACAGTAGCGCATTACTTACCAGAATAACTCTAGACCTAGATTCTAGATCTAGCCTAGTTAAAAGCCTAGCCCAGGCACAATTCCCAAAAACTCACTGCAGAGCTCAGTCACAGTTTGAGTTCTGTAAAAACCAGCCCAACAATACAATTGTCCTGAACCTCTTACAAGCAACAACAGCAAGGCAAAACTAGAAATCTAGGGACTCATCATGAATGAACATTGCTGCACTTTTTAAAAGTGAGATTTCATTCATCAACTAATCTAGCAATGCCAATCGGGCTTTCCCGCGCAGCGAAAATTTGGTCCCCGTTTGCGGGCAATTTTGCGGACCCGGCCAAAGCATAGGTGACTAACTTTGTCAACCTCGGTCTGCTCTATTTCCGAACCAATCCGAATGAAACTTGGCAACCAATCAGAAAATAGGGCAAACTAATGATATGTGGACGTTGAAGTTCATACACATAAATTAACCTATATACTTTTGGTGTCGGGAACACTTTCGTATCGTGTACACCGAAAACTATAAGGAGTTTGAATTTCAACGCCGAGATCTCTATCCTGTATAGTGTGCTCAAATTTGAACGTTCTGTGTCAAGTAGTTGTTTAGACCCGATCATAAATGCACGACTACCCCCCTATCCAAAGCCGCTTCGCACGGAGGCCGGCCTTTTTCCCCTCACTCTCGCGGCAAATGTATGTTGACCTACAAATCCCCGCATGACTATTCCGCGCCCATTCATTGGTCACTTGAAATAGGGCAACGGCGGGCACGCGCATCCGGTTGTTTTTCTCTCTATTCCCCTGTAACATCGCAATGGGGGTATTCCGAGGCGAGGTTATCTCGTCTCGGGGTGTTCGGGTCTCAACGGGGAAAAAGAATTTTTAATTGTACGGCATGCTAGATTGTTGGAACTTATATTTTACGGTTGGCATGGTCTAAAGTCATCATAAAAAGCTTTGCAATTATTTAGTCACGTTGCCGACATATATATTCTTAAAGATCCCATGTTGTGATACGATGCTTCGTAATACATCGAAATTTTAATTAAAACAAAATGACTACGAAATGGGTAGTAAATCTGACTGCAGAAATGATTTCTACACCCAAAAACACATCGGGTAGCCAAGTTTCTCTCCAACACTCCGATTAGTTACCGAGATATATCGTCGATTTTCTTACAGAATCTGCTACTGTGTGGTCCACTTTTTAGGAATATTTTCCTATATATATATGTGGGTCATCCATATTTATATTTTGCCGACCTTTACAACCCTATTACTTTTGGGAAGATTGAAGAATACCCGACCACTCGTACATTATTGCGCGAGAAAGTGGGGTAAGTGGGGCGGGTGGTTGGGATGGAGGAGGGGGGAGGGGGGTTCAGGGGGGTCTCCCCCCTGACAAAATTTTAATGAATAGATCTACCGGTCCGAGATTCTCCATTGAGAGATATTAAAAATGGGAAAATTATGAATTTGTAAGGTTGAGACATAGGCAAAGTCAGTCTGCTGGTCCAGTATTCTTCAATCTTACCTATTTTTTTAATTTATGAACCGATTCTTAAAATTCAAGAAGCACTTACAATAATTCTTAGAATTGAAAATTCTTTCTTAGGTACCAAATAAAAAAGGGCCATAGTGAAAATGTAAATTTTCATTGGCATTGCCTACTTATATTGGAAGTGGCTATTCTCATCCGGGGTGAGAATAGAAAAACGATCTACCTCTCACCCCGGGTGAGACTTGCCAGCGTAGGCTATTCTCACCCGGTGCGAAACAAGATCTGCTTTTCCTCATTTTGGAATACTGTCTATCGGTGTGGATGATCAAATTGATAAAAGCCAAGAAAAAATTACGTTATATATAGCACAAAAGTAAGCTAATTTGATCGTCTTCAAAGATGCTATATGGTTATTTCACTGTTCGAATCGAGCCGAACTACGCGGGTCGCCATTTTGTTTTGCCCGGAAGTTCTCGCAAGATCTACTCCTCCCCTCTCTCTCTCTCTCTGTCTCTTTCTGAATATACTGTCTATCGGTGTGGACGATCAAATTGACCAAAACAAAGTTAAAAAATGATGTTAAAACACAAAAGTAAATTAATTTGATTGTCTACAAAGATGCTACGGCTATTTAACTTTTCGAATCGAGCCGAACTACACGGGTCGCCATTTTGTTTTGACCGGAAGTTCTCGCGCTACTCCTCTCTCTTTCTCTCTCTCTCTCCACTGCCCACAGACAAAATTGTACGCTTTTAGTAGGCTACAGTTGTAATGGAACGTTTGTTCACTGCACAGAATTCTACAATTTTTCTGTGTATCACAGTGTAGAATTTCTGTGGTTTAGGGTGAACGCAAAATTTGTTGGCCTAGATCGATAACGGTGAACGCGCACCGGGTGAGAATAGCCAAAAGACTCGCAGGCTGCACTATTCTCACCCCGGGTGAGAATAGAGGTGGCCATTACTATTAAAATCTCATCAACTCACTAGAGCAACGTTCAGATTTTGCATTGAAATCTGAATCTGACCTCAGAAGAATCATGTCATTGGTATTTTTTTACTTTCCCTCCCGTCTCATACTCAGCTACCAGTTGCCTAATTTCTGCTAAATATTGATACGCTGAACACAAATTCATATCAACTTCATTTCCGTCGCAAATTAATAGTTTTTTTGAAATATTTGATTTTCTTTAACCGAGATCGACGTGCTGGCTTTGGACCAATCGGGGGGTTCCAGGGAGGCCTGCCCCACTGGGGTGTAAAAGAAAATCTGGGGGGTTACAGGGGGGCATGCCCCCCTGTTTTTACCTATAATTTGATATTTTACAGTTAGATTCTAGATCTAGATCTAGTCTAATCTAGATCTAGATCTAGATTCTAGATTTTTTTAAGTTGTCTTGAAAATAATTGATTTGCGACAGTTTTAGTGGCTTTATGTGTGATCTGCAGAAAACAGGACTGCAGTTTGACCCCTGGAGCAGTGCATCTGTGTGCGGGAGTGAAAGTACCAATTACCAATCATTTACCTGCCAACTGGGCCACTGCTACACTACAGTACTACACGTCTTCTGCTGCTAAGGCTAAGGCTACTTGGCTTTGCTGCTACTGAGCTAGATATCTACTGCTGCACAGACAGTTGAGTAGGGCAAACACTGTTCGTCTCGCTGCTTTCGTAGCGGTAATGGAAAACTCTGAACTATTTTTCCTAAGATTCATAACCAAACTGAACGACCATTTTCAGCTGGTCAGCCCACCAAAAAGCATGCAATGGGAAATATGGCGTTCGTCTTTACCTTACCATTCGCAGTCTGCCATAGGCCTAAAAAGTCTTCTCTTCTCCAACGCTATGACTCCATTTTCCTTGCAGAATCTTACCAGATTTTTAACCATAGAGTTTACTCGTCATTTGACTATTTCGTTCCTCCTCGACTTTTGGTACGAACAAATTTGATTCTCTTTTTTTTTTAATCAGAAGGTATTATCTTGTCATCCCCCGAACATTCACAGTAAATGGTGACTTTTTCAATACATTTGTCCTGGGTTTTTTGTATTTTAACAAGGGCAAAAATCAAAGTTCTCGCGCTTAACAAAGCGTCCAAGTGGCAAGTCACTTAAAAGGGCCCTTTTCTCATTCGACCTGAGGCGATCAGATTCGGACTGGACAGTGGCCACACATAGGGTTGTTGTTGTTTTTTCCTTCTCCTGAGCCTAAAATAAAACATTAAAAAATTAGACTCACAGACCAAGGAAAGCCATACTGAACTTTAACCAGGCCTAAATTGGTAAAAGGAAAAGTATAGGCTATACTTAAAAGGCCTACTTTGTACGGAGCTCCTCTTGGGGACAAAACCAAAATGTGCATGCTTCATCACTACATTTTAAAAAACTACAAAGCAACAAGATATAATTATTATTATGGGAACAATTTGTTGGTCAGTCGAGAAGAGGACAACAAACCCCCCC